TAGCACTCTACCACTTGAGCCACAGCACCACTTCCGGCTTTTTTCTTATGTGGTGCTGAGGAATCGAACCCAGGGCCTTAGGCATGCAAGGCAAGCGCTCTACCACTGAGCCAACTTCCCAGCCCCCCCTTGTCTTTATTTTATTTTATGATTTTTTTTTGGGGGGGGTCTAGTCGTGGGGCCTGAACTCTGGCCCTGGGCGCTGTCCCTCAGCTCTTCAGCTCAAGGCTAGCGCTCTACCACTTGAGCCACAGCACCACTTCTGGCTTTTTTCTTTTTGTTTATGTGGTACTGAGGAATCGAACCCAGGGCCTCATGCATGCAAGGCAAGCACTCTACCACTGAGCCACCTTCCCAGTCCCTTTATGATTTTTTTTGAGTCAGGGCCTCACTAAATTTCTCTATCTGGCCTTGAATGCATAGCTTCCTGAATAGCTGGGATTCTAGTATATACCACCCTACCAGGTTTGACTCCTTGTTTTTGGCCTCTGCTGTCCTTGTAGCAGCTCTGAGGTTGGCCCATCTACCCCTCCCTAATCTCCCCTACAGGGACCAGGCTATTTCTTGGACTGCTTGAAGAGTCTTCCATAACTCCCACTTCCTGGGGCTGATGTGGTTCATGGAGAAGACAGAGACCAGGCTGGTTGGTTGGGAAGAAAACTTCACCTAGATCTTACCACTGCCCAGTTGTACCTATGAGCAGGACAACCCCTTTTTTGTGAGCCAGAGCTTAGTATCTGCAGGGCCATTCTGGTGGCTGGAGACACGCAGCTCTACCCACCCCACTGCTCAAGCCAAGCTGTTCCATGGAGGCAGAGTGGGTCATCCCTGTAGAAGGCCACAGGACAGAATTGTGCCTTGTTCCTGAGACGACCACTTCTAGGATGAAGAAAGGTCTACACCTACTACAAAGAGCAATGTGTGGAGCAGGGTGGATGGGTGGCCAGGGCCTGCTCCTGGAGCCTAGCTACTTCCCTCACAGGAGATGGTAGTATTGGTCTTGGCCATCCAACCTTTCTGTTCCCTGTGGCTCTGAGTGAGACCTGACTGAGGAAGGAAGGACCCAGGACCTTGCTCTCCCATGTGACCCTTTTCCTGGCCTTTCAGAGGTCTCTTTACTACTTAAAACCCGTAACCCATCCTTTTAAGGAACAATCCCTCTCCACCTACTCTCCTGATCCACCAGGAGGCCAACAAGAGCTTCTTCCAGTCATGACACACCCACTTCCCTTTCCATGTGCTAAAGCTGCTGCTACCTGCTCTGCTCATGCCAAGCTGACAGGGGACATGGATCTTCAAGGGGTTGCCAGGCCATCCAGGCTTTTAAGTTCCATCCCAGCAAGATTACATTTTGGGAGAGCCGGGCGCTGGTGGCTCACGCCTGTAATCCTAGCTACTCAGGAGGCTGAGATCTGAGGATCGCGGTTCAAAGCCAGCCCGGGCTGGAGAGACCGTGAGACTCCTATCTCCAATAAACCACCAGAAAACCAGAAGTGGCGCTGTAGCTCAAGTGGTAGAGCGCTAGCCTTGAGCTGAAGAGCTGAGGGACAGCGCCCAGGCCCAGAGTTCAAGCCCCACGACTGACAAAAAAAAAAAAAAAAAAAAGATTACATTTTGGGATTCTATACTCTACCCTTCCCTAACTTCCATTTTGGACACATCCAGGTAGGCTATGTCTACCTTTGGTAGGCTCCTGGAGTGCTGCATGCTGCTTCAAATTAACATTCTCCAGTTGTCTCCAGTTCCTGCTTGCATGTAAGCAGAGCTGTGGTAAGAGCCCTGTGGCTGCCCCGCCACCTGCATACCAATGGGCTCCCACTCCCACTGCAGCACTGAACTAAACATCTCAGTGATGATAATGGTGGGAGATTGACTGGTCTGAGCCCTGTGCTTTCTGTAGGGCTCTTGCAAGTGCCACCAGCCCTGCTGGCCACAGTGCCAGCCTGAGGTAGGGTTATCTGCTGATAACCAGGAAGGCTTGGACCCCTTTCCTTTCCTAGGCAAGCAAGCTGGAATCCAGCTCCCATGGTCCCAGCATGGGTGGGAGCAGCAGATTGAAGCCCATCCAGCCTTGGCTGAGGAATCAGAGTGATAACCCTCTGGTCAGATTTGGGCCTTGCTGAATGTCACAGGTTAGGGAGACCCAAGGCTTCCACCCTGTTTTTCATCCTGGACTTGGGGCTGTTCCTGCTAGAAAGGCTCTCTGAGGTTTTCAGTGGCCTTTTCTCCTAGTGCTAGGGAGGGAATGAGTTGGAGAAAGAGTGTGTGTGTGTGTGTGTGTGTGTGTAACTCCATCCTCTTGGCCACATCTGGACACTCTTGTAGTTGTGGCTCTGGCCTGGTGGCCACAAAGTCGTCAGTGCGGCTGATGGGGAAACCACAGAGGAATGTGCCCAGCGGTATTGGGGAAGGAGGGGTGGTGGGGCAGAGAGACATCTTGCTTAGCTGTGCCTCCCAGCAGACCCTTGCTTCTGTTGACTCCCAGGGGCATATTTAGGCATGAGGGTGGTATAACCTTGTCCTTCTGTGGCCTTGCTCCTGGGTTCCCTGGAGAAATCCAAGCCCATAGACAGAATGTAGGGACCTCTTTTAGCCACCCCCAAGCTGGAAGGTAGGGATCCAGGGAAGTCTTGTTCCCTGTACCTGTCAGAATGTTAGGGTCTTATTTTCTTCTTCTGGGCCATAGTGGGCTGCTTGGATGCTAGAGTGCTTTCTTAGCCTCCTGTGGCCTTCCTAGGGTATATCAAGGAAAATGTGGGAATGTGGGCTTTCTTTGGAGAAAAAAGTGGAAAAGAAACAAAATGGGCTGGCCCTGCCTCTCTTACTTCCTCCTTTCCAGGCAGCCATATCCTGCCTTCCCTTTCCTGCTGGCAGCAAAAGGCTTTGTGGGGTGTGGGTTGGACTTGGGGCTCCCTGATGGTGTGTTGTTTGCCTAGTTGCCTTGGCAACCATAGAGCAGTGGTAGGGAGTGACATCCAATGACCGGGAGGACAGTGCAGAGGGATCAGAGGTCGACACCCATCCTTTCCATTGGAACCTTTTTCACTCTTAAGATTCCCCAGCCCATTGCCTTGGCACTACTCAGTAGATCTCACCACTGCTTTGCCCTTCCCAGTGTGCTGTCTTCCCTGGGACTGGAGTCTGAGGTCCCCACAGCAGCTCCAGCCCTCTCCCTGCCATCATCCTTCTTCCTGTCTGATTCCCTTTCCTTTCCTGTCTCCTCCTCCCACCTCCTCCCTGCCCGCCCATTCTCTCAACCCCTCCCCCCAGCACAGCTGCTGTTTGGCTCACTCTATATATAGCGGCATTTTCAGGGTAATTACAATAAAACTGTTGAAAGGAGATAATCCAGCAAAGGAAGCTAGGCTGACTCTCAGCCCCCTCCCTGGCTTGGTGCAGCCCTATACCCCTTTCCCTGAGACCTCTTGTCTCCCCTACTCCTTATCTTCCCTTCTGTTCCATCGGCCCCAACTGTTATAAGACCTGTTCTTTTCATGAGCCCTGAGTAGTAGCACCAACAGTTCTAGAACCAACCTCTGTGCCTCAGTTTTCCTTCTCATGTGGTCTTTAGTGGGGGCTTGGTGTTGAGACAGGAGGAGAAGGCACAGTACAAGATTTGCATTCCATCCTGAATATTCAGTCAGCTGGCTGGATCTGGCCAACTTACTCAAATGTCTTACAACCTCAGTTTCCTTGTCTGTAAAATGGGGTGACAATCACTTGAGTCATAGATAATTATGCAGTTTAAATGAGTCATTCATGTCAAAGGCCCAATGGTGTCAGTGACAATATTATGTGTCAGGTACTCACACTCTGCCATTACCATTCTTCTTCATGCTTATATTTTCCTGTGCATTGTTTTTGTGGTAGTAGTGGGGATGGAACCCAAGACCTCGTGCACACTAGGCAAATGCTCTCCCACTGAGCTCTACCACAGCCCTGCTGCATATTTTCTTTTCTTCTCCTCCTTCTCCTCCTTCTCCTCCTTCTCCTTCTCCTTCTCCTTCTCCTTCTCCTTCTCCTTCTCCTTCTCCTTCTTCTTCTTCTTCTTCTTCTTCTTCTTCTTCTCCTTTTGCTTCTCCTACTCCTAATCCTTCTCTTTCTCCTTCTCCTTCTCTCCTTCTCCTTCTCCTTCTCCTTCTCCTTCTCCTTCTTCTTCTTCTTCTTCTTCTTCTTCTTCTTCTTCTTCTTCTTCTTCTTCATTTTAATTGGTCATGGGGCTTGAACTCTGGGCCTGGGTGCTGTTCCTCAGTTCTTTAGCTCAAGGCAAGCACTCTTACCACTTGAGTCACAATGCTACTTGAGGTTTTCTGGTGGTTAATTGAAGATAAGACTCTCAGGACTTTGCTTCCTGAGCTGGCTTTGAACCGTAATCCTCAGATCTTAGCTTCCTGAGTAGCTTGGATTACAGGTATGAGCCACCAATGCCTGGCTATTTTCTATTTTTTAATTTTTTTTATTGTGAAAATACTGTACAGAGGGGTTACAATTACATGAGCAAGGTAATGAGTACATTACTTATTATCAAGCATTGTTGCCCTATTTTCTATTTTTGTGCAGGTCCTGGGGCATGAACTCAGGGCTTGTGCACTATCCTTCTGCTTTTTTGCTCAAGACTACCATTTGAGCCACTACTCTACCATTTGAGCCACACTCTACTTTAGGCTTTTTGGTGGTGAATTAGAGATGAGTCTCTCAGACTTTCCTGACCAGTCTGACTTCAAACCACGATCTTCAATCTCAGCTTCCTGAGTGGCTAGGATTATAGGCATGAGTCACCAGTGCCCAGCTCTGCTACATATTTTCTTACTTTTCATGGCTTTGGCCTCTTTTGAAGAAGGTGAAAGGTGGCTTCATGGACAGAGAGATTTAATCCCTCTCTCTGACCTCTTGGGTCTAGTAACACTGCCCGTGCCCTCTTGAGCCTTAGACCTGGCTTCTGGAGCCTAGTGGGGACTGAGATTGGGCCCACTGATGCCTCATAAATCTTGTGCCCACAGTGGAGGTGAAGCCAGTACTGCCAGGAGCCATGCCCAGCCCCATGGGGGGCGGGGGTGGAGGCAGCCCCAGTCCTGTGGAGTTGCGGGGGGCTCTGGCTGGCCCTGTGGACCCTGTGCTCCGGGAGCAGCAATTGCAGCAGGAACTCCTGGTGCTCAAACAGCAGCAGCAGCTGCAGAAGCAGCTCCTGTTTGCTGAGTTCCAGAAGCAGCATGACCACCTGACACGGCAGCATGAGGTCCAACTACAGAAGCACCTCAAGGTGAGTTAGCAGGGTGTAGGGGGTCACCCGTAGCTGTACTCTCCCCCCTCCCCCCCACACCCTCAGGGCCCAGCTCATTGCTCCCTTAATGCCCCTGCAGCAGCAGCAGGAGATGCTGGCGGCCAAGCGGCAACAGGAACTGGAGCAGCAGCGGCAACGGGAGCAGCAGCGGCAGGAGGAGCTGGAGAAGCAGCGGCTGGAGCAGCAGCTGCTCATCCTGCGCAACAAGGAAAAGAGCAAAGAGAGTAAGGCCATGGGCAAGGACCAGGGCTCCTGCCTGCCTGGCCCTAGCTGTGGGTCCTGGCACCAAGCAACCAGGTCACCAGTGCTCTGTCCGACAGGTGCCATCGCCAGCACTGAGGTGAAGCTGAGGCTCCAAGAATTCCTCTTGTCAAAGTCAAAGGAGCCCACGCCAGGCGGCCTCAACCATTCCCTCCCACAGCACTCCAAATGCTGGTAATAGTCCTGAGAGTGCAGGGTGGGCAGAAGGGACCTGGGTCCTCCTTGGGCCCTACTTGACTACAAGCTAGCTGAAATCTCCTGTCTTGTGGCCATATTTGGGCTCTGTAACTTCTCCTTGGGGATGAGAGTCCCCTCAGGATCCATTTCCTGTCCCTGTATGACATCTGGTAGCCTTATCATAGCTACAGATGGCCAGGTGGCAGACCCCAGGCCTGGGTGGTAACCTAAGTCTGCTTCTACCCTACCCCCAGGGGAGCCCACCATGCTTCTTTGGACCAGAGTTCCCCTCCCCAGAGCGGCCCCCCTGGGACGCCTCCCTCTTATAAACTGCCTTTGCTTGGGCCCTATGACAGCCGTGATGACTTCCCCCTCCGCAAAACAGGTGCGTGAGTGCCCAGCCTGACCTCTCTAAGTGTGATTCATTGGGCAGAGGTGGGGATGGGCAAGGGGAAGTGTTGCTGTGAGTCTTCCTTGACAGAGCTGGACTACAGGTATATGTGGATGTACCTGAGCTCCTACACCTTTCTCTACAGCCTCTGAACCCAACTTGAAAGTGCGTTCGAGGCTAAAACAAAAGGTGGCTGAGCGGAGAAGTAGTCCCCTTCTGCGTCGCAAGGATGGAACTGTTATTAGCACCTTTAAGAAGAGAGCAGTTGAGATCACAGGCGCTGGACCTGGGGGTAAGGCCTCACCACATGTCCCCATTCTGAGGGTCTGGGATTGGGGGTGGCTCAGAGCGGGCCCAGGTGACAGCCACTTCTCCTGTAGTGTCGTCCGTATGTAACAGTGCGCCCGGCTCCGGCCCCAGCTCTCCCAACAGCTCCCACAACACCATCGCTGAAAATGGCTTTACCGGCTCAGTCCCCAACATCCCTACCGAGGTACAGGCCAGGCTCAGGCTGGCGCAGGTGGGGTGGGGGGACCCAGAGCTGCTTTTTTCCCCCCTGAATGGAAGAGTGTTGCTCCTTCTGGTCGGGCTGAGAGTCCCCAGCACAGACCTTTCTGTCCACATGGAGGGTCCTTGCCTAAATATGGTCCAACAGGCCCATGAAGGACTCTGATCTCTAAAGGTCACCCCCAGTTGTGGCTCAGGGTGGGAAGAGTGGGGGCCATCCTGATTTCTTGGCCTCAGCCCCAGGTTGCCATCCTTTGCCACCTCCCCTTTTCCTGCTTTCATGCCTGTCTTTCCTGACTGCTCCCCAGATGCTCCCCCAGCACCGGGCCCTCCCTCTGGACAGCTCCCCCAACCAGTTCAGCCTCTACACGTCTCCCTCTCTGCCCAACATCTCCCTAGGGCTGCAGGCCACGGTCACTGTCACCAACTCGCACCTCACTGTAAGTGTAGGGCACATAGCCCTTTCTATTTTGGTGTGCAGGTTATTGGTCTTGCATGCTCCCACCTGGCACTTTTGCCTTCCCAAGGTCCCAAGGGAGGTCAGATGGGTGGGAGGGCAGAGGGTAGATGAGGGATGCTGGTATAGAGTTGGCAGGACTATGCAATAGGAACCCCTTACCTTATTTCCCATCTCTTTCCACCCCATGCAGGCCTCCCCGAAGCTGTCAACACAGCAGGAGGCTGAGAGGCAGGCTCTTCAATCCCTGCGCCAGGGCAGCACACTAACTGGGGGCACATTAACGGGCAAGTTCATGAGCACATCTTCCATCCCTGGCTGCCTGCTGGGCGTGGCACTGGAGGGTGACACAAGCCCCCATGGGCACGCCTCATTGCTGCAGCATGTGCTGCTGCTAGAGCAGGCCCGGCAGCAGAGCACCCTCATCGCTGGTGAGTGGGTGGGCAATTGTACCAGGGAGGCCCTCTGGGGTCTCAGGTTAGGACCATTGTGAGGGAGAAGCATCACTGATTGCTTCTACATTCTGGAAACATCAAGTACCTACAGTATGCCAGGCACTATTCTTGACAGAACCTGCTGCCATTACCCAGTTTCTGTGCCAGAGCAGAGCTGTCCAGTAGTTGCAACATAATGCAAACAACTGGCATAAAGTTTTCTAGTAGCCACATTTAAAAGTTTAAAAATAAATAGGTAGGAGCCTAAAAATAAATAGGTAGGAGCCAGGCATCAGCGGCTCACAGGCTCACACCTATAATCCTAGCTACTCAGGAGGCTGAGATCTGAGGATCGCAGTTCTAAGCCAGCCCGGGGAGGGAAAGTCGGTGGGACTCATCTCCAGTAAACCACTCAAAACCAGAAGTGCTGCTGTGGCTCAAGTGGTAGAGCTCTCGCCTTGAGCTGAAGAGCTGAGGGATAGTGCCCAGGCCCAGAGTTCAAGCACCATAACTGACCAAAAATAAATAAATAAAATAGGTAGGGCCAGCCATCAGTGGTTCACACCTATAATCCTAGCTACTCACGAGGCTGAGATTTGGGGATCAAGATTCAAAGCTAGACAAGGCAAACAAAGCTTTGAGATGTATCTATAGTTAACCAGCACAAAGCTGGAACTAGAGGAATGGCCCTGAGTTCAAGCCCCAGTACCTCACACACACACACACACACACAAAGTAGAATTAAAACATTTTAACTTCTATCCAGATATCATTTCAACATGCAACATGAAGGTTAAATGAGGAGTTTCACTTTTGTTTGTGTGTCACACACTGGTAGCATGAGCACTCAGTAGTCACAGATGGCCAGTGGCTGTGGTATTGGACCTGTTACCGTCAGGAGAGGTCTTGCAGGACACATACAGAACCTTGGCTCAGGCCTTCTTGGTCTTGTAGGAAGTCTTGTTGTTCTGGTGCCTGACTGGCCCTCATACCTGGCTAGCCCAGACCCACCTGTGCCCTTAAGTTCAGCAAACTGAAGAGAGAAAATGGTGAATTTGGAAGGCCTGCTGGTACCTCTGAGCTGAAACTGCTCATTTGTGAAGATGACAAGGAGAGGAGGAAGAATGGGACTCAGGCTTGGGGTGGGGTGCCTCAGGCTCCTTCAAGGTTTTTCCTCAGTATGTAGGTGGTGGTCCAGAAGGGGAGAACATTGCAGAGGATGATGGGAGTGAGCCTGGTGTCCTGACAATGGAGCTGACTCCTCTCCTGCCTCCACAGTGCCACTGCACGGGCAGTCCCCATTGGTGACTGGTGAACGTGTGGCCACCAGCATGCGGACAGTGGGCAAGCTTCCAAGGCACCGGCCCCTGAGTCGCACCCAATCCTCGCCACTGCCACAGAGTCCCCAGGCCCTGCAGCAGCTGGTCATGCAGCAGCAGCACCAGCAGTTTCTGGAGAAGCAGAAGCAGCAGCAGCAGCTACAGCTGGGCAAAGTATGCCTGGAGAGGCAAAAGTTCTGGGGCTGATACGGCTAGAGGCTCAGGCTGGGCAGGAAAGGCACGGGGGCGAGGGGGTATTTGGGGGTGCTGAGCCCAGGCCCCACTAGGGGTACAGGAGAGTTGGAGAGTTGGCTTTCTATTTTCTGATTGGTGAAGAAGCTCCCTTGGGCTAGCAGCTGTCTTTGAGAAGGGAGGGAAGGATAGAAGGACCTGGACTGTAGGCCTGTATAGCCACTCCTCCCAGCTAATAGGTTCCCCATCATTCTGCCTCCAGATCCTTACCAAGACTGGGGAGCTGCCCAGGCAGCCCACTACCCACCCTGAGGAGACAGAAGAGGAGCTAACCGAGCAGCAGGAAGCCTTGCTAGGAGAGGGCGCTGTGACCATGCCACGGGAAGGCTCCACAGAAAGTGAGAGCACTCAGGAAGACCTGGAAGAAGAAGAGGAGGAAGAAGAAGAGGAAGATGAGGACTGCATTCAGGTCAAGGATGAAGAGGGAGAAAGTGGCCCTGAGGAGGGGCCCGACTTGGAGGAGTCCAGTGCCAGTTATAAAAAGGTGCCCCCCTGACCTGGTCCTAGCCCTTAAGTCCCCACCCCATCGTCCTTTCCCACCCCCTTCCCACATCTGCCTGTCTCCATCCCCAGCAGCTCAGTTGGCAGTGGAGCAGCTTTCTGAAGAGTGAGAGGGGAGGAAAGAAGCCAAGAGGGAGTTGAAGGGGCTGCTGATGTGTGGGTCCCTGAGCTGTGCCTCTGCCTGTCTGCCAACCCCCTTGCATCTGCCTGTCTGCGTGTACTTGCGTGCGTACACGTGGCCTGTGTGTATCTGCTTTTGTGCCTGCGTCCGCTGGTTGTGCGTGGGTCTCTGCGTGCTTGTGTGCGTGTGTACACACACGCCCCCACTGTTACTACAGTCTGCCTTGTGCCTGGCACTCTCCATTCATTGCGGACACAGCTGAGCCCTCGAGTCCTGACTCATCCCTCCCTCGCCTCCACCCCCGCCCCTCTCAGCCTCTTACCTCAATGCTACTCTTCAATGTGACTCATCACATCCCCCATCCTTCCCCTTCTTGCTGGAGATGGCGGAGGCTGGAGTGTCTCCTGTCCCTGGAGGGAACAAATGGGAGATGGAAGATACTTGGAAGAGAGAGCTGGGTTGGGGGCCCCCTAGAGGCCCAAGGGGCACCTGTTCTCGCTCTTGTCCAGGCTGCTTATCCTCACTCAGGCCCCCTCCATTTCTTCCCAGCTGTTCACAGATGCCCAGCAGCTGCAGTCCCTGCAGGTGTACCAGGCACCCCTCAGCTTGGCCACTGTGCCTCACCAAGCCCTGGGTCGCACCCAGTCCTCACCTGCTGCTCCTGGAGGCATGAAGAGCCCCCCAGATCAGCCCACCAAGCACCTCTTCACCACTGGTGAGCCCTATCACTGCTTGTTGCATCTTTTCAACATATAGCAGGGACCTGTGTGTTGCATCTAGGGCCCTTCAGACACACTGAAGCAAGTGAGCCCGTGGCTATTTATGGTAGTCAGGAGGGTAGGCAGTCCTGCCTCTACCAATTGAGGAAGCGCTGATTTCTGTGCCTCCACCTCCCTCTTCCTAGGATACCTGATTTTGCACTATCACCCGTACAAGCTCAGGAGCTCAAGTGGAGAGAGCCCATTGTCTCTTTTGGGTTCTGCCCTGCTAGCTTTCTCTCGTCTCTGTGGGTTTGACAGTTGGACTCAGTAGGTTGCAGCAGGCTTTTTCCATGAAACTGCCACATACTAGGCTCTGAGTGGAAATAGGCTTGCCTGAGGATGGAGAGCCATACACAGGGCTAAGATGGGAAGGAGAAAGGAAGATTTTTTTTTAGGGGGGAAAAGTAGACTACGCAGTTGGCAAAGATAAAGACCAATGGGAGGTGTCAAGGACAAGTCTGGTTAGGCCTGAGAGCCAGAGGTTTCTGACAGGAGTATGAACAAAGGAATTTCAAGAGTGAGGACAGGTGTATATAGAAGTGGCCATAGGTAGGTGTTTGGGCTGGGTATGGTGGCCAGGCTGTGATTCCTGGCCCAGAACAGGGCTGGCTGACACAAGGGTCTGTGGTCCAGGTGTGGTCTATGACACGTTCATGCTGAAGCACCAGTGCATGTGCGGGAACACACACGTGCACCCCGAGCACGCTGGCCGCATCCAGAGTATCTGGTCCCGGCTGCAGGAGACCGGCCTGCTCAGCAAGTGCGAGGTGAGGGAGTCCCCTTCCTTCAGCCCAGCTTTAGTCTGAGCAGAGCCTCCATTTCCCCTGGGGTTATGTCTCTCTCATACCCAAGTTCATTCCTTGAGACCTGTTTCCTTCATGGTTCCCACTGGACTCAGTCCTGGAGTGAGGTCTGTGGGGATCCATGGCAGTTGCTCAGAATCCTTTGGAGTTCTGGAAGGATGATTCCATGGGCCCTACCTAGGCTATGGTTATCAAGAGAGCTGAGCATTCAGTGTCACTTCTCTCGCTTGTCTGTCCTGCCCTTCCCTGGCAGCGGATTCGGGGTCGCAAAGCCACCCTGGATGAGATCCAGACAGTTCACTCTGAATACCATACCCTGCTCTATGGGACCAGCCCCCTCAACCGACAGAAACTTGACAGCAAGAAACTGCTTGGTGAGCTGACACATCTGATGTCTTGTGGAATGGGGCTGTCAGAAGACCTTCTGGCCAGGGTTGGCCGTTGTCCTGATAGTCGAGGGTCATCCCGTTAGCAGAGCTGGTACCCCGTCAGCGAGTGTCATTTACATAGATGCAGCCTGAGTAAGCTGGAGGACACCGTGCAGGAGGGTGGAGTGATCCTTTGCCCCTCCCCAGACTGTCAGAGGCAGAATGTTTCCTAGAATGAGACAAACAGCTTCCAGCTGGAATGGGCGACAAAGGCCTCACCTGGACTTGGATTTGTGGGTTTGTTTTCTGTGACTCACTGACTTACTGACCTCACACCTTCAAAGTCCACTCTGTCCCTTTTCCTTGCAGGCCCCATCAGCCAGAAGATGTATGCCATGCTGCCTTGCGGGGGTATTGGGGTGAGTGGGGTATATTCCAGAGGGAGTGGGCGGTGGCTCTCCTACCTCTAGCCCCCTTCTTTCCTGGCCATCATGGCTGCTAGCCTGTTGTCTGGTGCCCACCTCCACTCTTGCCCTCCCCCTGCAGGGGGCACCCTGAAGCCTGCTCTCCTGCCCCTGCAGGTGGACAGTGACACCGTGTGGAACGAGATGCACTCCTCCAGTGCTGTGCGCATGGCAGTGGGCTGCCTGGTGGAGCTGGCCTTCAAGGTGGCTGCAGGAGAGCTCAAGGTGAGGGTGTCCTTATGGCACACCTTGGCTTGGTCCTATGGCCTTAGAAGTAGAAGCTGGGAGCAGTCCTGGCTTCTTTTAACTTGGATGCCAGAGTGGAAAGAATGTGGCGCCTCTGGAGACACCGAGGGGTTGAGAGAGATGAGGGAACATTCAACAGTAATGGTGTTGTGAAGATGTCTACTTGCTCCAGAGGCCAATGGTTGACATTCAAATGGTTGATATGTATTTCTCATCTGTAATCCTTTCGATGCTTGGCTATATTTCTACCCCATCCCTGGCCATCATTCTTTCCCATCTCATCTCTGTCCCTCTCCCTATACTTCAGAATGGATTTGCCATCATCCGACCCCCAGGACACCATGCTGAAGAGTCCACAGCCATGTAAGTGCTGCCCTGTCCTACCCCTGGCCCTTTGCCCCCAGCCTTCCTGTGACCCAGCCCCACCTCACTCTGAAGCTGACCTCCCTGTCCTCTTCTCCCTCTCACCCCCCTCAGGGGATTCTGCTTCTTCAACTCCGTAGCCATCACAGCTAAACTCTTGCAGCAGAAGTTGAATGTGGGCAAGGTCCTCATCGTGGACTGGGTAGGTAGTGGGCTGAGGTTGCTGGGCAGAGGTGGGTGCAGCTGAACTGGGACAGCGTGAGAGCTCATTCCTTGTTTTTTCATGCTGATGATAGGTTAGCCTCAGTCTCTTCTTCTGGACCATTAGCTCAGTTCTCACATTCTAATATGTCTCCTTCCTTTTTCTGAGAGACCCAAGTGCTTTTATCCCTTGCCCACTTTGTCATTCCCCAACAGCCTCAAGCATAACATACAAGGGGTTTCTACCTTGAACAGTAGGAACAGGGATGCCGCTACCACTGCCAGAAGCCACTTGCCTCCCCTCACAATTGGGAACTAATATGTGCCAGGAACCTGACTAGTACTTGACATACAGTGTTGCTTACAGCCATCTTGAATACAAAGGTCTAGATGGTCTAGTGGCTCACACCTGTAATGCTAGCTACTCAGGAGGCTGAGATCTGAGGATCACAGTTCAAAAGCCAGCCCAAGGGCTGGGAAGGTGGCTCAGTGGTAGAATGCTTGCCTTGCATGCATGAGGCCCTGGGTTCGATTCCTCAGCACCACATACGCAAAAAAGAAAAAAAGCCGGAAGTGGCGCTGTGGCTCAAGTGGTAGAGCGCTAGCCTTGAGCTGAAGAGCTGAGGGACAGCGCCCAGGCCCAGAGGTTAGGCCCCATGACTGAAAAAAAAAAAAAAAAAAAAAAAAAAAGAAAGGTCTAGATGTCCATTTCTATAAGTGAAGGCACTTTTTTAGGTGACTTAGCTAACGTCTCTCAGCTGAGGATGTCATACTTCTGTCTTGCTATAGCTTTTCAGAAGCTGCCCTAATGGTGAGAGTAAAGCTCATACTGCTCTCTGTGTTCAGGGAACTCACTGTGGCCAGGAACCATCTTTTTTTTGTAGTGTGTGTGTGTGTGTGTGTGTGTCTGTCTGTCTGTGTCTGTCTGTCTGAACTCTGGGCCTGGGCACTGTCCCTCAGCTCTTCAGCTCAAAGCTAGCACTCTACCACTTGAGCCATAGTGCCACTTCTGGCTTTTTCTGCTAATTTGGTGCTGAGGAATTGAACCCAGGGCCTCATGCATGCAAGGCAAGCGCTCTACTACTGAGCCATCTTCCCAGCCAGGAACAATCTTAAGCAAGCAAGGGTAGAATCTCGTGTGTGTGTGTGTGTGTGTGTGTGTGTCTTTCTGTCTGTCTGTCTGTCTGTGTCTGTGTGTGCATGCGTGCATACACTGGTATTAGGACTTGAACTTAGAGCCTTGTGCTCTTGCTTAGCTTTTTTGCTCAAAATTGGCTCTTCCAGCTTTTTGTTAACAGTTGGAGATAAAGTTTCTCAGATTTAATCTGTTTGCCTAGGCTGGCTTGGAACTTCAGGCCTCAGATCTGAGCCTCCCTTAGTAGCTACGATTACAGGCATGAGCAATCAGTGACTAAGGGTAGAGTCTTTTTTTTTTTGGTCAGTGTGGGACTTGAACTCTGAACCTGGGAGCTGTCCCTCAGCTCTTCAGCTCAAGGCTAGCGCTCTACCACTTGAGCCACAGTGCCACTTCTGGTTTTTTGAGTGGTTTATTAGAGATGAGAGTCTCACAGGCTTTCCTGCCTGGGCTGGCTTTGAACCGTGATCCTCAGATCTCAGCCTCCTGAGTAGCTAGGATTACAGGTATGAGCCACCAGTGCCTGGCAAGGGTGGAATGTTTAAAGCTCAATTTTGGCTTAACAATTCATGTGGACGGGCTGGGAAGGTGGCTCAGTGGTAGAGCGCTTGCCTTGCATGCATGAGGCCCTGGGTTCGATTCCTCAGCACCACATAAGCAAAAAGAAAAAAAGCCAGAAGTGGTGCTGTGGCTCAAGTGGTAGAGCGCTAGCCTTGAGCTGAAGAGGTGAGAGACAGCGCCCAGGCCCAGAGTTCAGGCCTTGTGACCGGACCCCCCAAAAAAAAAATTCATGTGGACATGGTAGCTCATGCCTGTAATCCTAGTACTCTGGAGGCTAAGGCAGGAGATCTCAAGTTTGAGGTTAGCTGGCTAATATAGCAAGACTTTGTCAAAAACAAACCAAGCCAGGCCTCAGTGGCTTATGCCTGTAATCCTAGCCATTCAGGAAGCTGAGATCTGAGGATCGCCATTCAAAGCCAGCCTGGGCAGGAAAGTCCATGAGACCCTTATCTCCAATTAACCATCATAAAACCGGACGTTGCACTGTGGCTCAAAGTGGTAGAGCACTATCCTTGAGCAAAAGAGCTGAGGGACAGTGCCCAGGCCCAGAGTTCAAGCCCCATAACCAGCCAAAAACAAAACAAAATTAAAAAAAAAAAAACAAGTTGAATAGAGTGTTGCATGCTTGTAATCTGTTTCAGTTAGGAGGCTGAGGCAGGACAGTGGTAAATTTGGATTTGGTGCCATCCTAGAATACATAGAAAAACACTTATCAAAAACAAGCAAGTGGGCTGGGAAGGTGGCTCGGGGGTAGAGTGCTTGCTTTGCATGCATGAGGCCCTGGGTTCCATTCCTCAGCACGACATAAACAGAAAAAGCCAGAAGTGGCGCTGTAACTCAAGTGGTAGAGTGCTAGCCTTGAGCTGAAGAGCTGAGGGACAGTGCCCAGGCCCAGAGTTCAAGCCCCACAACTGACCAAAACAAAGAAGTGCTGAGCGCCGGTGGCTCATACCTGTAATCCTGGCTATTCAGTAGGCTGAGATCTGCGGATCACGATTCAAAGCCAGCCTAGGCAGGAAAGTCTATGAATTCCTATCTCCAATAAACCACAAGAAAACGGGAAGTGGCGCTGTGGCTCAAGTGATAGAGCACTAGCCTTGAGCTGAAGAGCTCAGGGACAGCGCCCAGGCCCATAGTTCAAGCCCTATGACCAACAAAAAGAAAAAGCAACTAAGTAAACAAAGTCATGTAAATGATGGAGCCTTCTTTAGAATATGTCTGTCTGTTTTAAAGGTCTTAAGGTTCCCTAACTCAAGTGGAATATGTTCTGCAGGGAGATAAATACCTTATGACTTTGTATGGCCTGTACTCAGTGTGATAACTTAGATGTGAAATTCCAGATAGAGAAGTGAGTCCAGGCAGTTGGGAATGGAGTGCAGGTTCCTTGAAACTAGTGGTAGGTTCACCCCCAAAGCTTACCATAGAATGGATAGTAGGCAGGTGGCTTGTGTGTGTGTGTGTGTGTGTGTGCGTGTGTGTGTGTGTGTGTGTAATCTGTCTGTCTGTTTATCTACTTGCCTGCCTGCCAGTCCTGGGACTTGAACTCAGGGCCTAGGTGCTGTCCTTGAGCTTTTTGGCTCAAGACTAGCACTCTACCACTTGAGCCATAGCTCGACTTCTGGCTTTTTTGTGTGCTTAATTGGAGGCAAGAATCTCAGATTTTCCTATCTGAGAGATGGCTTCAAACTGCAATCCTCAGGTCTCGGCCTCCCGAGTAGCAAGGATTATAGACATGAGCCGCTGGTGCCCAGCCTGACAGGTGGCATTTTGTCCTTTGTGTCAGAGCTTGGACCATTTCCTAAAGTTTCTACCTCTCTCTGCTAGGACATTCACCATGGCAATGGTACCCAGCAAGCGTTCTACAATGACCCCTCTGTGCTCTACATCTCCCTGCATCGCTATGACAACGGGAACTTTTTTCCAGGCTCTGGGGCTCCTGAAGAGGTACAGCTCAAGGACCTATAGTAGGCTCTTCTGGGAGGTAACTGATTGGGGCCTGTGAGGAAGCCATGAAAACTCATATGGTGCTGGTCCCTGGGGCGTCTGAGGGCTCCTAGTAGGAGGACCTCACAGGTCTGACTGCCCCTCAGGCAGATCAGAGGTCAGTGGAGTGGGGCTCTGGAGGTGAGTGTGGAGGTGGGGCAATGTCTGGGGTCCCCCAAGCAGTAAAAATAACCTCTTCCCCTACCTTGGTGCCAGGTCGGTGGAGGGCCAGGTGTGGGGTACAATGTGAATGTGGCATGGACAGGAGGTGTGGACCCCCCCATCGGAGACGTGGAATACCTGACAGCCTTCAGGTGGGGACTGAGAAAAAGGCCAAGGGAGGGGCAGGAGGAGGGGTATAATCTCTGAAAGGAGAGCAGTGTGGTGTGAGGCTGACCTGGCCATCTACCTGCGTCAGCTTGGGCCATCCCTTTGCAGGACAGTGGTGATGCCCATTGCCCACGAGTTCTCACCTGACGTGGTCCTAGTCTCTGCTGGGTTTGATGCTGTTGAAGGGCATCTGTCTCCACTGGGTGGCTATTCTGTCACCGCCAGATGTGAGTGTGCTGGGCATTTGAGGGAGGTGTGCAGCAGCCAGGTTAGAGGCAGCGGGGATGTGGAATGGGCAGATCTTGGACATGGGAGTTATCCTGCTGGCTCCCCCCACTTTTCTGCCAACCTTGACCCAGGGGCCAGCAGGCAGAAGTGATGTAGCATAGCATGGGTCTCCTGCTGGAGCCCAGGGGGGCAGTTTGCTGATCCCTGACATTCTAGAGATGCTTTTGAAAGAACAGCATGTGATTGGATTTCTTTGTCTTACCCTCAGATGGAACATTTAGTCTACTGACATTGTGTTTTATTATGTATATATTTGGCTTTAAATCTACCATCAAATTTTGTTTCTTTTTTTTCTCCTTTCTAACCATCTCTAGAATTGATACTATTTACCATCTTATCCTCCTTTCTTCACCCATTTGCAAAGGTTTTGGCCACTTGACCAGGCAGCTGATGAAGCTGGCTGGGGGCCGGGTGGTGCTGGCCCTGGAGGGAGGCCATGACTTGACCGCCATCTGTGATGCCTCTGAGGCCTGTGTTTCAGCTCTGCTCAGCGTGGAGGTGAGGGCAGCAGTGAGAAAGGTGGGATGAAGGATCAGAAGGACCAAGCAGCTCCAAGGGCCCTTGGGGAAGATGTGCCTTGGTCCTGAGAATAGTTGGGAATGGCTTCCTGAATAGAGCTCCCTCAAAAGGCTGTGCTTGCCCACCATGAGGATGTCTGACTGAAGGAGGGTAGTTGAAGGGGCAGGCATCACCACCCCATATCCTCACCCTAATCCTGGTCTTCTCTCTCCTTCCAGCTGCAGCCTTTGGATGAGGCAGTCTTACAGCAAAAGCCCAACATCAACGCAGTGACCACACTTGAGAAAGTCATCGAGATCCAGAGTGCGTGAGAACAAGCCAAGGGGCTCAGACCTCCAGTTGCCTTGTGGGAGCTCCTGGGCTGGTAGCACCACATGGGGCTGTCTTCACCTCCCTGACTCCCTACTGGTCCTTCTTCCCCAGGCAAACACTGGAGTTGTGTGCAGAGGTTTGCTGCTGGTTTGGGTCGCTCTCTGCGGGAGGCTCAGGCAGGTGAGACTGAGGAGGCCGAGACTGTGAGCGCCATGGCCTTGCTGTCAGTGGGGGCTGAACAGGCCCAGGCTGCTGCTGCCCGAGAACACAGCCCCAGGTAAGCTCCTCACCTCCCACTCCTGTCTCTGGCCCACACTAGTCTCTCTCACTCAGTGTCCTTCCTGTGCTTGTCCCCACAGGCCGGCAGAGGAGCCCATGGAGCAGGAGCCTGCCCTCTGACACTCTGGCCCCCATCCTGGGCTTCATCATTGTGATTTTGTTTATTTTTTCTATTAAAAACAAAAAGTCACACATTCAACAATGCGTGCTGTGTGGGTCTCTCAGCCTTGCCCCTTCTGCTCCTCTAAGCTGCCTCAGGCCCCCCGACCATATATGACCCACATCCCAGTTCTAGAAGTTGCTCTCTCTGTAGGAGGTAAGGGTTCACAGTCCAGCCCCTCCCCCATTTTGCACCCTATGCCACTTCCCTAAATTCTGTCCTTTCCACCTTGGAGTCTGGGCCAGCTCAAGGTGAGCATGGGGGCCCAAACAGTACGCTCCAGTTCTGGGCCCCCCCCACCGCCCTAAGCGAGGTGGGAACAGTAGGTTGGTACCTTGGCTTTAGCAGACTTTGGGGGGGGAATGCCTTAATTTCACCCCCTCCCCTTCCCACTGCCTAGGCTGCAGTGGCAGGGAAGTGGGCTCCCACACTGTGCTCTGCAATCCTTCCCATCTTTTATCCCCACCATCTCTGCAGACTCCTCTCTGGCCTCAGCACCCACCAGAGGCTATGCTAAGGATGAGGGCCTTGGGTCTGTGACCAGAGTTGTCTTGCCTCACACTCCCAGCAGCTGAGAGGATGAGGGGATGGGATCTTAAAGTTCTGAGGGTCTAGATGGATCCCTAGAGGCAAGCCTGCGCTCACTTCAGTTTTGCCCTCCCTGCCTTCTTGCTGACACAACCTGGGGTAGAGGAGAAGGTGGTTTCTAACAGGAGGGCACCAGGCTGATGAGAGCCCCCTTACTGTTTAGGACCAGATTTCTCCTAGTTATCTAGCTGCAGAAGGGTCTGGGTTATTCCCTTCCTGGATCCTTTTGCTTTGAAGCCTGAGGATGGCAAAAGATGGGTTTAGAACAGGCAGAACCAAACCCCAAGAACCCAGTAACTGGCCTCGACTAAAAGATTCCCTTCCTCCAGGGTTGTCTTCGTTGGCCACTAGGCTAAGGAGTCCAAGTCCAGGAGAGGCTGGGTGCTGTCTCTCCTTTTTTCTAGTAGCCCTATGTCCAAGGCTGGGGGCCACAGGCTTCCAGTGAAAGCTGTCTAGCCTGTAGGAAACCAAAGATGTGAAGTAGCTCCTAGGGGCCCAATTCCTCCCTGATGTTACATCCGTAATCTCCCATCCCCAGGGCCCCACCAATCTGTTTACATAGTTATGATCCAGATGGGGGCCTGAGCAGGGTTGTGGGAGCCAAGGGAGGGGCAGAGTCCCACCACCATTGGTTCACTGTGTGCTTGTGTGTTGTGTTCTGGATTCTCTTGGGGGGATGGAGATGGGGCTAGGCCCAGTGTACCAGGCCTCCCTGCACTGAGCCCCAGGCTCTGGCTCCTCTCTCTGTGGCTGGTCTGGTTCTCGTGTAAACCCACTCCTTGCTTTGTCTCAGTTAAGTATTTTGTAACCCATTACACTGTGTGTCCTTGTGTAAATAAACTTGTTTCTTGCAGTGCCTTCTGGGGCTAGTGATGTCTGTTCTCTGGGATCCCAAATGGAATAGGGTCTTATCCCCTTCCTAGCCAAAAGCAAACCACCTGCCTTTTTTTCAGCCTTGGACTAGAAAGCAGTTTGGTATGCCAGAAGCCAACTGGGAGATCTCAATCTTGTAGGTGAAAGATAAGCCAGGCCCGGGAGCTGGGAAGGTGGCTCAGTGGTAGAGCACTTGCCTTGCATGCATGAGGCCCTGGGTTTGATTCCTCAGCACCACATAAGCAAAAGGAAAAAAGCCAGAAGTGGTGCTGTGGCTCAAGTGGTAGAGTGCTAGCCTTGAACTGAAGAGCTGAGGGACAGCGCCCAGGCACAGAGTTCAGGCCCCATGACCAGACCCCCCCCCCCCAAAAAAAAGAAAAAAGCCAGGCCTGGTGGCTCTCACCTGTAATCCTAGCTACTCTAAGATCTGAGGATCAGTTCAAAGCCAGCCCGGGCAGGAAAGTCTGTGAGACTGTTTTGTTTTTGTTTTTTTTTGCTAGTGTGGGGCCTGGGCGCTGTCCCTCAGCTCTTCAGTTCAAAGCTAGCGCTTTACCACTTGAGCCACTGCATCACTCTGAGGAATCGAACCCAGGGCCTCATGCATGCCAGGCAAGCCCTCTACCACTGAGCCAGTTTCCCAGCCCCTGCGAGACTTTTTTTTTTGTCGGTCGTGGGGCTTGAACTCTGGGCCTGGGCGCTGTCCCTCAGCTCTTCAGCTCAAGGCTAGCACTCTTACCACTTGAGCTACAGCGCCACTTCCGGTTTTCTGGTGGTTTATTGGAGATAGAGTCTCACAGTCTCTCCTGCCCTGGCTGGCTTTGAACCATGATCCTCAGATCTCAGCCTCCTGAGTAGCTAGGATTACAGGCGTGAGCCACCAGTGCCCGGCTGCGAGACTCTTTTTATCTGCAATAAACCACTAGAAAACGAAGTGGCGCTGTGGCTCAAGTGGTGGAGCGCTAACCTTGAGCTGAAGGGCTGAGGAACAGCGCCCAGGCCCAGAGTTCAAACCCCATGACCAACAACAACAACAAAATTCTACTGAAGCCAGGCATCAGTGGCTTAGGCTTATAAACTTAGCTACTCTGGAGGCTGAGATCTGAAGACCAAGATTCAAAGCCAGCCCAGGAGGAAAGTGTAAGACTCTTAGCTCCAATTAATTATCAAAAAGCCAGAAATGGGCTGGGAACGTGGCTTAGTGGTAGAGTGCTTGCCTAGCATGCATGCCCTGGGTTTGATTCTTCAGTACCACATAAAAACACAAAAAGCCAGAAGTGGCGCTGTGGCTCAAGTGGTAGAGCACTAGCCTTGAGCACAGATAGGCTCAGGGATAGTGCCCAAGCCCTGAGTCCTGAGTTCAAGCCCCAAACTGGCAAAAAAAAAAGCCAGAAATGGTGCTGTGTCTCAAAGAACTAAAGCACTAGCCTTGAGCACAAACACTCAGGGACAGTGCTCAGGCTCTGAGTTCAAGCCCCAGGACCAGGACACACACACACACACACACACTTGAATATATTTACAGCATCTCACACACACACACACACACACACACTTGAATATATTTACAGCATCTCACACACACACACACACACACACACACACACACTTGAATATATTTACAGCATCTCATAGGACCTTCCTAGAGGCCTCAATGGTGACGGGGTGTGAGGAGAGGACCATCCAGAGAGGTCTCAGCTGAGTTTACAGCCAGACCTGACCTCCATAGAAGAAGAACTACAGGGCTGGGAAGGTGGCTCAGTGGTAGAACGCTTGCCTTGCATGCATGAGGCCCTGGGTTCAATTCCTCAGCACCACATAAACAAAAAGAAAAAAGCCAGAAATGGTGCTGTGGCTCAAGTGGTAGAGCACTAGCCTTGAGCTGAAGAGCTGAGGGACAGTGCCCAGGCCTAGAGTTCAGGCCCCCCTACCCTCCCCCCCAAAAAAAAAGAACTACAGAGGAACTCCACTTTTATACACATAGACAAGAAATCCAGAAGTTTCAAGGACTTTATTGGGGCCCTTGACCCACTCCTCACAGTATTGCACGAACCTTCTGGTCTTGCTGTTGCTTTTGCTTTTTCACATGTTGGGAGGAAAGGCAGGAGACTGAGTCCCCTTGGGAGATACCCTTCTTTTGTGGGAGTGGTGATAGGCCTGCCTGCGGGTTGCAGCTGTCTCCTGGAGTGTGAAGGTTGTAGAGTATTGGCTCTCAGGGAAGAGAGTGGCAGGAGGAGGCACAGGAAGTCATGAAGAACGGATGGGCGGCGCTTCCTGGGCACTGAATGTGTGCACCACCCAAGGCACGAGGGCCAGGACCAGGCATGGCCAGAGTGTATACTTGAGGAAGTTAAAGATGTAAAAGAGGCTGATCTGAGGGGGGTGACCCAGCCAGTTCAGGAGGCCCAGCAGTATCATGGCCAACACAAGACAGGTTATCTTCTGGCCATTTCTCAGGTGTACCCGTCGTATCTGGGCATAGCAGGGAGAGTGCAGGGCAATGCCCAGACCCAAGGCAGTTCCTGAGTCACGACTCAAGGAAGCAAAGGGTCGGCTGTCCAAGAGCACCCACTCAGGCCGTTCACACCACTTGGATGCTAGGTTGATGGACCTGTAGGGAAGGAAAGTCCTTGCCAGGAGAGGCTAGAACCCAGAGGGCCACAGCTCTTAGTGGCCACAGCTCTGTTGTGCTGCAACCCCAAGAGGGTCTATGTGGTAATACATCCTGTCTTCAGTTCTAATGAGTGAGATCCACCAACTAGGTACAGAATTGGGTAAGACAGGCTGGGAATGTGGCTTAGCAGTAGAGTGCTTGCCTAGCATGCAGGAAGGGTTCAATTCCTCAACACCACATAAACAGAAAAAGCTGCAAGTGGTACTGTGGCTCAAGTAATAGAATGCTAGTCTTGAGCAAAAGAAGCTCAGGGATAGTGGGCAGGCCCTGAGTTCAAGCCCCAGGATTGGCAAAAAATAAAAAATGGTAGGAAAAGCCCAAATCTACCCAGGTTCCAAAGTGGGACTTACCAAGAAAGATCCAAGCCCAGAGTAAAGAGGGTCCAATAGATGAGGCTGGCCCCTAGCATGAGAGATAGGGCAGTCAGCCCATAGAAGCTTAGTTCCCGCTCCATGGGCACCCGGGGAGTCATCAGCCAGCCTAGGACAGCACCTAGGAGAATGAGATAAGAGAAGCTTCAAGAAGTTTGAGGAAATGACAACCCCACCTCCAGCTTGGTAAGAGAACAGACTAAGACATAGTGGGGTTGGCTTGAGGTTGGCTTTACAGAAGCTGGAAAAAACAGGAAGGTTTTAGAATGGTTCTCCCACTACCAAAGGCCCACCCTGTTGCCCTAGCTGCTCACCAGTTAGTAGGCCAGACAGCACTTGATGAGGGAAATGTGCTAAGAGGAAGACCCGGGACATGCCAATCGCCAATAGGAAGGTGCAATAAACCAGGCTAGGTATCACCCTTAACCAGCGGCTAGAAAGAAGAGAGATGAATATTCAAGGGATGTCCAGCTACAGCTTGGTTTTCCTCAGCACCCAAGTATTTTATAGTTTGACCAAACACCCCAGGCACTCCAGGCTCCCTAGTTTCTAGGCTGTCATGCTTGAAGGATCATTTGGGCCTAGAATGTCATTAACCCCTGCTCCTATAGTGAATAATGCCAGAGGCATACCTGTGGGCCCGAGTGGCCATCTGGGAAGAAAGGGCTGTCATCATGGGCCAGAGGGCTGCTCCTGTGATCATACAGTGTCCAGAGGGGCTGCCTGCCCAGAAATCCAGAAACTTGGAGTGAGAATGGTGGAAGCCAATTTTCCCTAGTGATTATTTTCACATGGCTGCCTCCCCAAGGCTGAGATTACCCAACCAGGATCCATCCATTGCTTCCTCTTGCTTGAGGCTTTTTTCTCTCCCACCTGAGACCATTGCTTTTAGGCTTCTGCCTAGCACTTTCTCTGACTTTACCCTATACCAGCTGGGTGGCCAGCACCTGGTATGAATGCCCTCTTCCCATAACTCAACCTGGTCTTTCTGGAGTTGCTTTGTTCTTTATGCCAGTAACTGAGAGGCTGGACCTCTGGTTGGGCCACCCTGGATGAAGTGTTCTGAAACCCTCACCCAAACTCCTAACTACCTAATAAAGGAAGGAGCTTGGAGGTTTCCCACCTGGACCAGTTTCACAAGAAGAAGGGAACTGGTGAACTTTGACTGGAGCCTGGTTGTAATAC